TAATAAGTTTTTTTATAATTATTAATTTATATTAATAAAAATATTAAATAAACTATTTTTTAAATATTTTTATTAAAGATTTTTAATTTTTTATTTAATATAATAAAATAATATATATTTAATAAGCTATTCTTATAACCTTTAACTATAAATATAGTAATAAGTTTACTTTATAATTTATAATAATAAATTACTTAATAAGTTTATAATTAGCTCTTTTTAAACCTTTATTAAGTTTATAAGTATTTATTAATAATATTTTAAACTTAATTTCTAAGCTTTTAATTTATATTATATAATTAATTTTAATTTATTAGCTAAATAATAATATATTATTATTTAAATATATTATATAAATTATAAGTTTAAAATACTAATAAACTTAAGCTTTAAAGTTTTATAATAATAATAAAATTTAGTTTTTTATTTTTTATATTAAAAAATAAATAAATAATTTTCTATTTTATTTATTTTTAATAATAAAAGCTTATTTTATAAAATTTAAAACTTTTTTAAAATTAAATAAATTTTAAAAAAATTTTTAAAAAGGTTTTAATAAAAAGTAATTTAAATAAGTTTGAAATATAACCTTTATTATATATACTTTTAAGTAATATTTATAATTAATTTATACTATACTATTAATTTATACTCTTTTTATAATATTAATAAGTTTTTTTAAAATATTTTTTTTTAAATATTTAAATTTAAAATATTAAATATACTTTAAATTTATTTTAAAAAGTATATAGTTTATTAAAAAGTAAAATATATATATATTTTTTTTTTTAAATATTAAAAATAGTATTATTTTAGCTATACTTTATAGCTATTAAAATTTATAAGGTTTAATTATAAAAAGTATTAAAAATAAGTAAATAAAAAATAATTTATATTTAAAAAATATTAAATTATATTTTTTAATAAATATTTATAAAACTATATTTTTTTTAAGTATTTTAAAGTATAATATATAGTTAAGCTTATAGTATTATACTTTTAATTCCTATAAATAAGCTTTAAAAGTAATATTTATATAAAAATCCTTTATAATTATTATATTTTTAAGTTTAAAATTTTTAATTTATAACTCTGTTTTTTTATTAAATATATTTTTAAATATTTACTTTTTTTTTAATTATTAAAAATAAAATTATTTTTATATTTATATATTTAGCTTTAATAAATTTAATAAAAAAGCTTAGTTTTAATAATTAAATATTATTAACTAAATATACTATATTATAATTATTAAAAACTATTAAATTTATAAGTATATAATACTTTAAATATAATATTAAAAATACTTTTAAATTTTTATTTTTTTAAATATATATTTAATTATAAAGTATTTTTAAAAGTATTAAATTAATAATTAATAAATTTATATATAAAAAATTATAAAAAAAAAAGTATTAAGCGTTTATAGCTTAAGCTACTTTATAAAAAGTACTTTAATATATTTATTAAATACTATATTAAATTAGCTATATATTATATTAAGCTTATATATTTATTATTAATATATTATACTTAATTATTATATTTATAGCTATTATTTAAATATATATTTTAAATTATTATTATAAACTATTAATTATAAAAAGGCTAGTATTTTAAAAGAAATTATTTTAAATAAAGTATATTATAAAAGAAATATTATAAAATTAAATTTTTAAAAATAAATTTTAAAGTTTTTATATAGAATAAAAAAGTATATTAAGCTTTTTATATATTAAAAAACTTTATTATTAAAATAATATAAAAAATAAAAAATAAAAAGTATAAAAAAAATAAAAATAAAAAAGTATAAGGATTTTATAAACCTTTAAATAACTAGTATTTAGTTTAGTTAAAATATATTTATTAAAATATTTACTTTTTAATAAATTTTAAATATTATATATTAAAGTTTTTTTATAATAATTAGCTAATTTATACTTTAATAAATAATAATTAAACTAGTTTAGTTTAATTTGATATTAATTACTTTTTATTTTTTAATTTAATAATAAATTAAGTATTATAATTTATATTTAATCTTTATATAATTATATATTTTATATATTTATTTAATAATTAAAATATTAATTAATTTAATTTTCTTTTAATATAATAGTATTTTAAAAAATTATATTACTTTAATACTTAATTATATAATATTTTTTATATTTTTAAATAAAAATATTATTATAGTTTATAAATTTATTATATTTACTTTTTTAATTTTTATATTTATAGTATTATAATTTATAATTTTTATTATTTAAATATAGTAAAAATGCTTAAAAATCCTATAGCTATAAAGATTTAATTATATATTAAAAAGCTTATAAATACTTTTTTATACTTTTTAAGTATTAAGTTTAAAAGTTTAAAACCTTTATTTTATATAATTTTTTAAATTTTAGCTTTAAATTATATTAAAGTAAAGTAATACTTAACTATATATAAAAAGTTTTTAATAATAATTATACTTTTAATATTTAAAATTTTAAAAGCTTATTTATTAAAAAAAAGCTTATATTAAACTTAATATTAGTTTTTAAATTATATTATATAGCTTTTTACTTTTATAAAGTATATTTAATAATCTTTAATTATAATATTTTATAATATATAATAGTTTAATATTATATTAGCTTAAATATTATAAAGTATTTACTATATTAAAAAAATTTATTTTTAAATACTAAATTTAAAAAGTTATATAAAGTTAGGTTTAAAAATTAATTTATTTATACTTTTTTAAATTTATAATTAAATTTTATTAATTATTTTACTTATTTTATTATTATTTATTTTTTTAATAACTGTATTGTTTAAGTAGAAATTATAATACTTTATAGCTTTATTAATAGTAAGTTTTTTAAATTTAGTAAATTTTTTTAATATATATATTAATAAAAGTATTAAAGTAGTTTTAAAAGTATTATTCTTTAGTTTATTAGTAATTTAGCTTATTTGCTATATATTAAGCTTTATTTAGTATTTAGTATTTTACTTTTTAAAATATTTAATATATTATTTTTTTAAAAAAAATATTGTATTTTATAAACTTAATTATAGCTTATTATTAAATATATTTAAGTTTATATATTTTTAATACTTTTTTAATTTATAGTATAATTTTAAAAATATATATTAGTTAAGTTATAAATATAAGTTATTTATAAGCTATTTTAAAAAGCTATTAAAAAGTATATTAATATTTATTATTAATATAATTAAATTAAATTTATAATAAAAAAAAAGTTTATTAAAAATAGTATAATATATTAGATAATATATATAAAAAAAGTAATTAAAAACTTATTAAATAAATTTTTTATTTTATAAATTTTTAATATTTTTAATTAAAAAAAAAATAAGTTAATAAGCTAAGCTTATAATTATAAAGTACTATAGATTATATAGTAAGTAGTAAAGTATAAATAAAAGTGTTATTATTTTAGCTAAGTTTGTTTTAGTGGAGGGTAAGCCTTTAGAGTGTAATTTATAGGTGCTCTGGCGGGTGTGCACTCTTTTGTAGTAGCTTTCGGCAGCTCGCACGCACGCCAAATTTGCGACAACCTAATACGAAAGAAGTAGCCATAGTGGGCAACAGCGGCCTAAACCAGGCTCAAACACCGACTGAGGAGAAATCAACGTGTCCGATATCCAGATGGGTGATGTTGTGCAAGGCCTTGAAAGAAGCACAAAAGTGCCTGGAAGAGCCACGACAGCAGTATAACAACTATCACGGCGGAAAACAAAGACCAAGGATAAACTTAAGAGCATACAAACACGAGATTGAAAGACACCGAAGTCGGCCGGCTCCAGCACGAACTTGCAAACGTGCGAAAACACATTGATAGTGTTTCTGTCCGTGCTTCTTCCGGGCAGGATATTTAAAAATGCCCCTGTGCTCGAACACGGACTGCACTCGGCGGACCACATCCCGCAGAGCGATTGCCAAGCATCCTACGCGCACACTTACCCACTAGGATCATGCGGCTCTTCCATTCTCCGTGTCTGCAGTGCATCGCAGCATGCGGCGCTTAGCTGTACAAGACTCTGATTGTCGTTTGTCCCGCCAAGAAGCCAATCAGCAAGTAATTGATGCAAGATGGCGTGAATCCAGCCGCAAGAGGCCGACTGCATCGTCTCCAGTAAATGCTGTGTGATTCTTGGGCTCAGCTCCGTGGCTGCGAGAGAAGTGGCTTGATTGTAGAATATGGTAACCGAACGGTTGTGTTAGATTCTCTTCCTTGTATCCATGTTGAGTCAAGCTTACTACTGCCTGCCAATAGGGAGGCCTCGCGGGATATATCTTCACACTTTTATAGCCCCAAGGAATGTGATGTAAGATTTTAATGCCTTTAGAGAAGCACATAAACAATATAGGAACCATAATTCCCAAAATCTCATGTTACCATTAACCTGAATGGGCGTGTCAGTAATCCCATAAGACATTGAATTAGGGCTCAGGGGCAGCGACGAAGGCTGTTTAACAGAAGAACCCCAAAACCGAAACCCCGAAATAAATGAGAAAATCTACCGCCTTTCTTACCCACCATTCTGCTTCATCTTCTTTTCCTATGCTCTCTATACAGTCAGTCACGCAGAGCATTGGTCAACCTGACCTTTGCTTCGGCCAAGCTATGGAGATAGCTTGTGTCGATATGTATCCATATGACTGGTTTGATATTTGACACTTCTTGACAGTCTTGGATAAGGAAGTCGACGAATGGAATGTGAGGAGACACATATTTCGCAGCGTAGTGACGAGATAGCGTAGCCAAATGGAGCTAACCATGGTCGACCAAGAGCAGAATCTTACGGCTTTGGCCCTAGAATCCTTCGTCTTTTGGTAATGTTGACTAGAGCTCTGAGGAGGATGCCAAAGTAACCCCGGAGTGATTGATGACAGGCATATGAGTGGATCGTGACCCTCGATCCTACCTCGCATCAGCACTGAGACTTAGCGCGGTCCCGCACTATTTTCCATTTAAAAGAGCACCGATTGTGACCAAATTGAAAGGTATGGGATGGCCTCTCTCTCGCTTACTTTCTCACCGTCGGCAGCGGCCCACCATGTTGGCCGCACGCGTCTTCCGCGGATCGCTGCCACCGGTGCAGCTGGCCCGTGGCCCGCTTGCAGTGTGTCGGCCTCGGCTTGGCTCAAAGACCTTTGGTAGACCTCTGTCCGATCATGACCAAGAGTACTCGAGTATTGTGCACTTCCCGTTCAGGAGCCCATCTCAGCTTCGAAAATACACAACAATAGGGGCGAAAAGCTCTGAGAAAGAAAAGATCAGCCTGACCGGGCCTGAAGAGCTGCTCATGGGGACACTGTTCCTGAGAGCCCACGACAGCCGGGCCGCAAAGCCCATCCTGGGGGACCATTACGCACAACAGGTTATTGACCGGTGCGACATCGATACCGACAGAACCCACTATCCGACAGGAGAGCTGTGGGTCCGAGCACTTAATTGCAGGACCAAGCAGCTTGATGACTGGTGTCAGGTGAGTTCATAAAGTCCCTTGAGCATTTCTGTATTTCCAGGAGATATCTAATTGGAGCTGGCCTGCAGGACTTCCTGGACAGACACGGAAACAATCCAGTCACGGTAGTCCATCTTGCCTGTGGCTTGGATAGCAGGTACTGGCGTGTCAGAAAGGGATCGAACGTGCGTTGGATCGATATAGACCAGCCTGCCGTTGTTGAGCTACGGTCGCGTCTGATCTCACAGCCAGATGGGGACTACACACTGCGGACACTACCGATCACCAAGCCAGGATGGACCAGTGATATTCCAAGGGACCGTCCGACTTTGGTCATCGCAGAGGGGCTCTTCATGTATCTCGAGCCAGCAGAGGGTAGAGCTATCTTCCAGGAGGTGGCAGAGAGGTTCAGTGAGGGCGAGATCATGTTGGATTCGCAGTGCTCGCTCAGCAAATTCTTGACATCTTGGATTTCCGTGTTTCGGTCCAGCGGATCAGTATTCAAGTGGGGCACGGACAACCCGCATGGAGAAGTTGAGGCGACGCATACAAAGTTGAAGTTAAAGGATCAGAAGCTGTGGCAGGATTATGTTGGCACCCATCCGCCACTATTTGGTGAGCTCGGCACATATGTTGCGTCTTGGATGCCGAGCTTCAAATGGAATCTCTGCTTGAGTCGGTTCAAATTTTGAGAAGTTTGAAAGGGTTATACTGCCATAGGTGGGGATAGAACGGTTATTCAATACTCCAGAGGGGTTTGTATTCTTGTCTAGTTCTCCACGGTTATTGAAAGGAGGACATACTATGAGACCATGAGCATTTCGTAGAGTTAGACCAGAAAAGATAAAGGCCGGGGGGGAGTTGAGTTGGTCTGGTCAACCTGATCTAAGAGAGTTGTGCCCACCGTTAAAGTGAAAAATTCAGGATGTTAGTGTTGCAATGAACAAAACCACGAACAAAACCACTAGAGGAAAGGTAGTGAGCACTACGACTGCATGGTAAAGGAAGACAGAAGTGAGGGTGTCGTCATTTTTGAGACGTAGGCAGCCAAATGGGATACCCCTGTCAGCTTTTTGCCTTTGGCTAGATCTGCCGAGGTCGGCAACCGCTTTAGGCAGGCGGTCAAGATTTAGGGCTGCAGCTGCGCTGGCAGTTTGAAATGCCAGATCGTCGCCAACCGCAACCAGCATGCAAAAGTGTCTACATCACATCACACTCGACCTGGCACCGTGGCTTCTCAAGCTCACCTCTCCACTTCTACTCACTCATGACCCCATAGCATTGTCAGTTTCATCATGGTAAGCTCCCCAACTCTAGCATACCTGTTTGTGCAAACCACAGCTAACACCAGCCCGCAGAACACAACATTCAACAGCGCTCTCAAGCAGAGCACTTCGATTCGCAAAGACCTCGCCAACCTCTCGAGCCAACCCTCCTCCGACCCAAATGGCCCCTCGCCCGCCCTCATAAGCCCCGCCGCGCTCGGCTCCCTCAGCGCCTCCCTGACCGCCTTCCAACGCACCATCGACGAGTACAACTCGCTCGCAAAACAAGAGCTCAACCCAGCCAAGCAAGAAAAGGCCCTCGAGCGCATACGAAACTTCCGCACCGAACTAGCCGACTACCGAAGAGAGTTCGAGTCGCTCAAGACACAGCGCGACGACGCCCTGCACGCCAAGGACCGCGGCGAGCTGCTAGGCCGGCGGCCCTACGCCGCGACGCCCGAGAACCCCTACGCGGGCAGCTCGGGCGCGGCGACATCGAGTTCCTACGGCGGGTACGGCGGCGGCGGCGGCGGGGGGCACGTGCGGAACACGAGCGGCGGGGCGGGCGTGGGCGGGAGCAGCAGCGGCGGCGGGTACGGCATGGGCAGCAACGACGTGACGCGCGAGGACCACGCGCTGCGGGAGCAGAACTTCTTCGCCAGCACCAACTCGGCGTTGGACGAGTACATCGCGCGCGGGCAGGCGGTGCTGGGCGACCTGGGCACGCAGCGCGAGATGCTCAAGGGCACGCAGAAGAGGCTGTACTCGGTCGCCAACACGCTCGGCGTGTCCGGGGACACCATCCGCATGATTGAGCGGCGCGCGAGGGAGGACAAGTGGATCTTCTGGGCGGGCGTGGTCATCTTCTTTGGGTTCTGCTGGCTGTGTCTGCATTTCTTGCGATGAGCGGAATGGACCTGGGGTTGATTTGCTGCCCGCCGAGGGTGGGGAAGGTTCCTGCTGGGTTTACTTGGTGTTCTTGTCGTACTTCCTTCATATCTGCATGAGCATGGCGTTTTGGTTAGGCCTGAAAGCAACTGGCATCATCTATGGGAATGGAATGAGACGGTTTTCTTGAGTCTACTACGTGCTTACATCGCTAGAGAACCTCTTCTCTTGATATCTCGACTGTTTGTTGGTTTACAGCATGACGGGCGCAATAGTACTCTCTTCTCTCTTATGAATACCGTCGTCAGCAGCATCAATGCCATCCTCCCAAGTGTCAAAATTGTAGCAAAAGTCAGTGGCTGACAGGGAATGAGATGGCCAAGATTGGCAAAAGAGTTCGGCGACCAGCGCCTACATCTCTGTTAGCACCCGAGGGCACCCATACGAGCGGGTTGTTTAGGTTTTGGGTTAATGATATTTGTTTGTGTGTTGTTCTTTCCCGCAGATACTACCAGGGCGACTCGAACCTGCGAGCTCCGGTTATTGCCCTCAGCTAGTAGTATCTCCTGCAAATCGCCGCCCTGGTGGATCACACCATTTGACCTGAGCACGCAGGAGTGCCGATATTGATCTGGGGGCGGTTCGGGGGGTTTATAAGCTGTGGAGTGCAAAGCAGGCAGAGATGGGATGAAAGCGTTTGTGGGGCCGATACTACTGGCTGTTCCAGCAAACCGACAGGCTACCTCTTCAGCGCGATAGTGAACAAGACCTCCTTCGTCGTCTCAACCTCCACCGCCTCCGTCTCAGGCAAGACGTGGTTGCTCGTGCTCATCTGCCCCCCAAACTCAGTCTCCCAGTCCGTCACATCCCACTCGAAACCCCTCAGCGTGATGACGCTCGGCTGCTTGACGGGCACGATGCCCGCGTACTTGTCAAACACGTCCCCCCTCCTCTCACCGTTCCCGTCCCGCTCCCTCACGTGGATCCGATGCTTGCCCGGTTTCAGCAGGAACGTGATCGACTCGCCGCTGACGAGGAACAGGCGCCCCTCGGCGTAGCTTGGCGACGTCTGGAAGAGGTACAGGTGGTGCAGCTGGCTCAGGCCCTGGTCCACGCGCCCGCCTAGGCCGCCCATGGCCACGATGTCAGGTGGTGCGGCGCCTGCACCGGCCTCAGGCGAAGGCGTCGCCGATGCTCGGATCCATTTGACTGCCTTGCCGAAGTCGGTTGAGTACTGGTCCGGGTCGTGGACGATCTTCGCCGGCTTGGCACGTGTGGTGAAGTGTTGCCGTGCTTGTGTGGTGAGAGAGTCTAGGTCACCTATGATGGCGTCGAGGTTGTCCTGGATATTGTGAGTACTTGATGAGGATTTTTTGCGCTGAGTGCAGCTGGGCAAATCTCACGAAAACACTGCTGCCGTCGTCATTTTGACAGACGTCGAGGAGACGGTTTGCGCCGCCATCTGCTGCGACTCTCAAGGATGCTGACAGGGCATCAGCAGGGGTCGGGGACCGGCATGGAAGGCTTCACGGGCAAGGGACGCGTTTACAGTTCTTCCACAGCGTCTTTAGGGTTGACACGTCCCGAAGTGGTTGGTTGAGGATGATGAGGGCAAATTGATTGGGTCTAACCGGGGTGTTGGATCCCTCGTCTCTGTCGGCCCGGGGCTGCAGGATGCGGGCCGGGTACCAGTCTATCGGGTCGGCCATGGTTGCATGCATGCACGCACGGATCTGCGAGTGGTTGTGTAGAAGGTTGCGAGATGGCGAGACTGGAGAGACGACATCAGGGGTGGGCGGCAGAACAGAAATGAGGGGTCATGTGGAGATGGATGAAGATCCGAGGATCGAGAATACATGACTAATACCTCTCAAGCTGGTGTCTATGAGCTCAAGTAAGGGAACTGTGACTGACGTTGTATTGAAGGACTGTCTTTCTGGGTTTTACTCACGTTAATACAATCTGCTCCTAGACACATATCTCACATTATAGTCGTCGGTTTGCAGCAGATGTCAAAAAGATACTTGTCTCTAGACTGATCAATGACCACTGCTGACATCAGACGATTGTCGGTTGCTACACTAATCCCACGGGCTTGAGTTTAATCTAGGTTTTGAGCGTCGCATCAATCGCAACGCTCCTCCCGGTCTTAACATCGTCCCCTAAGGCGTGGTAAACAAATCTAGTGCCAGGTGAAACTCTACTAACTCTACCCCTCTTTCCCTTCCCATCTCGACTCGCTCTTGAACTGTCTGTATGACCAAGCTGTCGTCTTTTCTATCCGCCAAGCCATCATGTCCCACTTGAGCTCCAGCACTACTGAATCCGGCTCCGGCTCCGGCTCCGGCTCAACAGATGCCGCTAACACGGCCAATACCGCGGACACGTCGGCCATCTTCCAGCCGCGATCTAAGTACAGGATTATAAAGGACGGCTGGGGCAGCCGGACCAATTTTCAAGGCTCCCACGGGCTGAAGATGGATCCTGATGGCCTCGAGGAGGGCAATCTCATCCTCGAAGGTTACCAGCAGTGTGAACGCGACACGTGGTACTTGAGTCAACAGGAGAAGCAGGCTTCACAGGAGACGAAGGTACATCACCCACACCGTTTCCCCGGACTGAAATGTTTCATATAAAACCCGAGGTTAACAGTGATAGACGATTACACGCAATATGCATGTGGGGGAGGGAGAACGCGTCGCGTATGAACGCGAATTCGCTACAAATTCAAACGCCATACTTCTCCACAGTGGACCAAATGCAGGTCTACAACAGCCGCAAATTCCCGACACGTTTCCTCTGATCCTGCTTCTAAGCGCTCTGTATGCCGACATGCAGATTAAGCGAGGCGAGACTAGTCAATGAATCCGGGGCTGGGCTTCACCGTCAGCCAGTCCTTTTGTGACGGTGGCGGCCTCCCATCAGTTAGAAAGAGTTTGCGAGAGGGGCATGAATGGCCATAGCTGCATGCCGCGGCAAACTCGAGCGCAGCCCACTTCCCCAGTGGTTCGCATACGAATCCACAGGCACAAGCAGGCATGGCACAGGTACACGAACCTGGGGTGCGTCTCGGAGACCAGGCGTGCATTGCTAAGCCCTCAGATGCGTTGGTCCGTACCCGCCCGAGACTCAAAACCGCTTCTCTATACGCTACTTCTCCCATGGATACCCACCAGCCAGTGGCGAAAACGAGCACCTGAGCCTTCTCTTCCTGTATCTCCCCAACAATTATCAAACGTGGGGTCAAACTTGCCCAGGCACTCTTCAAGTCTGCCCGGCCATGCTTTTGCTCTTGATCGGGGCACAACGGACGAAACTGGACAAACCACAGAGCAGTCCTGGCGTTAGCCCACGAATTCCGGAAACTGTGCTATCTTGATGATTGTATGAGCCGATAGCCCGGATCTTATCTTGGCCATGTTCCGGGGTTCTGTATTCGGCCCCGAGGTCATGCTAGCGGCAGGGGTTTGTGTCCTTTCAACTCAACGCTGGTTGCCTATACGAGACCGTTGTTTAAGTCTATCCGGACAAGAATAATGAATAAAAAATTGATTAGATTTCTCTATTCGCGGATTAAATATCTCCAAGACCTAACGACCCACTGTACCCGCTTCATGCTGAAACAGAAGTGAGAAGTCCATGCTCCGGATAACTCAAACGGGCCGAATTTACACTTGCTGCACTATCTTTGCTGTCCAAACTGGAATTTTGACTTCATGTGCTGTGGGTTAGGCGTCTACGTGTCGGTAAAGCCCCACAAGACAAAAGGACCCCTCTGCCAGCAGCCCCCAGGCCAATTTATTGGGCCTGTCAAGACGTCATGGCGGAGCGTACAGAGTCCGATAATGTGCCCCGCCGCTTAAGTTCTTTTGTTGACTTTTGACTTGAGGGGTCTTCCCCCCCAACCAGCTTTGTTTCGCTCGGGCAAACGGTCAGCGCTCACTCTTTCTAGTATATTATCGCTCGGGAACCAAAGTTCAAGGTCCTCGTGCCACCGATATTCTGTCTCGGTTCCAACTCTCCGAGCTCTCAAGCACCATTGCCGAGAAAAGTACGCCTTTGTCTACTATACGAAGGGTGACGCCCTTCACGAGTCTTCCAAACCGCGACACATCAACCGTCACCCGAGATACTATCTTCACCTAGGATATTGCGCACTCAGTCCGCCGCAGAAATTTAATCCTACGCTCCCCGTCGCAGTGCCACATTTCCAGTGCCTCGGGTTTGCCACATCATGGTAAATACTCCGCCTTTCGTGAGTATCTGTAATACCTGCCGTCTTATTCCAGCGTCTTGTCTGACTCTCCGTCGTCTTCACAGTTCTCGATCCTCACTGTCCGACCTTCACTCCCAACCCTCGAGCTTGAATCCGCCGAAGAACCGGACGCTGCCAGCTCCATTAGCAGCGAGTCTCAATACTTTGACGCCGCTGAGTCCATTTTCAGCCATGATGAGTCGGAGATCACCAAGCCAACCGAGATCACAACTGTTGATGACCGCGACGACGTTAGCAGATCTCTGTCCCCCTTCCACGCGCCCCGTTGCACGAACCAGGACCAAGACATAGACAAGCTCTTCTTACAAGACAAAACAACTACTGGGCCGGCACAAGCGGTCCATGGTACCTGTATCAGTGACCTCAGTGATGGCGAGGCCGACGATGCTACACCAGGTGTGACGTGGACAGGTACAGACAAGGATCTGCCTGCCATCAAGCTTGACCGAAGCCGCGGGCCGGGCCGCCACAACTACAAGGTTGGGTCCAGAGAGGAAAATGAAAGTGATATCCAATTTGACAGGGCCTCAACTTTGAATATCAACGTCCCATGGAAGCATCCCAGGGAGAGCACTTCTGAGGCCTGGAAGGTGATCCAGAGAGTTGAGAGGCTCGGGGTTCTGCAGGATTTGTCCACGACTAGTCAGTCGGCGGGAGCTGGCAACATCCATTCTGTGCCCGGGCCTCTTACCGCCGCCTTGGACAACCTGATGCCCGCCACACACTGTTGTGCTACCGAAGACAAGTCACCGCCAACGGAAGCACCTTGGCAAGCTGTATCATCGCAAAACCTATCGAATGCAGCCCGGCAGACCCAGGTCCACGAGTTCCACGGCGCGATTCACCGCTTGATGCCGCCCGGCCAGATCATCTACTTCGGCATGGATGTAGACAGCTTCAGGCAGGAAGGTATCACTCGCTATGTCACAGATCGCATCCTAGACGCCGCGCTGGACATAGTAAGGGTATTCAGAAAGCGGAACCTTGGTATCGACTTCGCGTACATGCCGAAGTCGGCCTCGGCTTTCAATGTCTTCAACATCCGTTACGACCTCACCCTCGGCACAGGTACCCTAGCGCAGGCTTTCCTCCCCAGCGACTCACGGAGGACCTGGCAACTGGGTATCTCTCGCCGCCTGGCTCTCTCTGGTATTGGCTCGCGCGGCTACCTGGACTACCTGCCCAACATCCTCGCCCACGAGTTCATGCACATCCTAGGCCTGCGCCACTGGAACGCCGGATTCCACGCGAGCGAGATGCACGAGCCATCTGTGCTGTGGCCGAAGACGGTCGAGGGGAACAGAGAGTCTGTGATGAACACCGGGGTGCACCCAAGTCAGTTGCGTTTCTCGGATGAGGACTTTCGGGTTATCCGAGAGATGTATTCGACTTTCAACGGAGCTCTGTGTGCCGGTCGGAAGATTATTGATATCGACCCTTACAATGGACCTTATGTGGCATGATGGGGTAAAGTCCACGTTTTCTTTTCGTTTCCCCTTGGTCGCCTTATTATACCAGATTGTCATCTATAAAGAGAAAGCGCGAGCGTGTTTGAAGATATTTCTTTGTGCGTTTACGGTTTCATCTAGCATACAAAGCCAGACTGGGAGGATTATTGGACTGGGGATCGAGGTGATCGGAAGATATTTCTTTGTGCGGTTATGAATTCATGGAAGGATATTTGAAGGGTCTGGACTTGGTTTAATACAAGAGCATGGGAATTATAAGATGGAAAGTCGCTAGACGGGTTTGTCACATTGGAAGTTATCACATTGGAAGTTACCACATTGGAAAATATCACATTGGATGGAAGGATGTAGCTTAATGCCTGGTGGGACAGTTATGGGTGACCAAATGAATGTATGCATATAGAGTATGTCTCCACTCTCTGATGTCTTGAGTGACCGCTATGGGAATTTGATCCAATTATCGAATCCATGTCCGAATCAATGAAGTATGTGCTGAATGACAACACGTCCAGCTTCGAATGGTAGACACCACACACCACGATTCAATCCTATTCCTTCCCTTCCATGACCAAGATGCTGCCAATGAGGTGGCTTTTGGTGTGGCCAGGTCTCCTTCTCAGATGAAGCACCTTGAGGTTACTCCAAGTAGTAAGCAGCCGCGGCCAGGACATCGCCCAGGTCCTTCTTGTACGCGCCGTAGCTGCCATACTTGCCGTAGCCGCCGTTCTTGTCGCCATAGGAGCCATATCCAGCTTTCGGGGGTGCTGGTGCCGGAACAGGCACTGGTGTTGGAGTAGGAGTAGGCTTTGGTGCTGGTGTAGTCGTGGGGGTGGGAGCAGGTGCAGGTGCAGGCACTGGGGCCCCGTAGTTGCCGCTGTGAACTCCAGTGTCAGCAGGCAAGCTCTGGTTAGGGGGGCGTCGTGCCCAAGACAAGAAGTGGAACTGGTACATTAGGTAGAATGGAATGAGAGACTCACTAGCTTCCGTAGCCGCCCTTCTTGTCGCCGTATGAGCCGTACAATTGACGAGCCTCGATCTCAGCCTCGGGCTCTGGGGCCGCAAAAGGGGCCGCAAGAGCCAGAGGGAGGATGGAGAGGAGGAGAGTGGAAGGCTTCATGGTGATGGACGGTGTGATTGGCTGTTGACGATTGTTACACAAAAGACTTATTGGGTACTTTCTGAATTCATGAGCAGGATAGAAGGTGGTCATATGCTTAGCTTTATATAGAGCTCAGATCCCCATCAATTCTCATGAGCATCTACCGGCTGTTTAGCTCTTTCAGACCTCTCGTAAAGGTAATTCTGAAGTTGATACCGAACCGCGTGCTCGGCGTCTTCTCTGTCGTGCCTGGTTCCTGGTCATCACGCTATGTCTGGTAGACTCGCAGAGCTTCTTTGTCTGCTTGGAGCTGATCAACAAGGTGCGCAATCACATGGGGCCAGCTAAGATTTCCTTGAGTAAGCATTATTTTCGGGGCAATACAGAAAGCTCTCAACCGGTACAGGCTTAACACACTGTTTTCAGATCATTTAGCTGGCGATGTAGCTTTCACTCTATGTATAGGATACTCCCCTAGCCCAGCCACAAGTCAGAGCTGAATAAAGCTGAGTGTTGGTCAGTATTCAAGGTTGGGATTTAGGTAGGCCAAGCTGCCATGCTAGAGCTAATGTCACTCAATTCGGGTATAGCTCATACGTAGTCTATAGCTTGAGGGTGACCTACTATACTAGATCTCGTACAGTAGATTCACATTATCTTTGTGTTGTTGAGGCGTTTGCCCTTGGCCTATATAGCGCTAAACTGTTCACTATCTACATCGGTCCAAGCTACCAGCCGTTCCGGATTAGGTTTCTTCACAGTCCACCCTATTAGTAATTGGGAGCTTCAGCAACCTGACTAGCCTGCTAGGTAGGTCCAATCCTATCACCGTTCCGGTTGTTGGGGGTCACAAAGCTGCCGTGGACCTGAATGTTCAAGATGGTGAATTCCGATAACTTGCAAAACGCTACTAGAGCACGACCCAACGCCAGCAGTAGTCATGCAATCTTACACTTGTGTTCGGGTAGCCTAAACAAGATAGCAACTCAATGATAGCTAAAGTGGGGTTGCTTGATCTAGGTGGAATGATTGTTGACATATTCAGCTATCGGTCTGTCTAGAGGCGTGGACCCGTGTGGACTTTGTTCATCACTGAAAAGCGCTCCAAGGGTTTCAGATACCAACGGCTCACAGATCGACGAAGTCTGCTTGAATTTCACGTGTCAGAACATTCCAAGACCTGAGACACACTTCACAACGCCGGTTTAAGAAAGTTGTGCGCACGTCATTGTCAGTGCATTTCACAGAAGGCGGTGCTCACAACACAAGCATTGATGCGATCCCGAAAGCGGGCCGATCCCAACACAAGCACGCAAGTACATTGCAGCAATAAGGGCCGTGTACTCTGATATCGTGAAAGTAAGAGTCTAATAGCATGCCCTCCAAGATCGTTGGGCCCAATAAGAAAAGAAGCTCGTCATTGGTCAAAGCTTCTTAGCCACAAAGACGTGATGCAATGGCTGGCTACCATCCCTTTGTTCCACAGCTCCAAGTCGATTACCCCATGCTTGGCGTGCGGCTGACGGGTGTCACCTTTCGGCCTCATTGGGATCGAAACTCGTATTGGTGAGAACTAGGATGCCTGGCTTCCCAGAAGCACAGAAGCATCTGATCACACTTTCCACCATTCGAAGGCCGAATGCAGCCTCGGACGGCCCTCGGCAGATTTGTCTTCGTCCTTCATTAATAGGCATTTTTAATGCTCCCGAGGTCGGTCATGGGAACTAGTAGACCTCGATCGGTCTCGATCAAAATCACGCCTCCCTTGACGATGCCAGGAAGCGGGCCAAACACGCCTCCACAATCTACAATGGACCAAAAGTCTCCAGACTATGCGCTCGAGATGTGCGAGTCTGCACCAGAATCGCAGCCCCTGACAAAGCACATGTTCAGCGATGGCTCCGAGACCGATGTCGATGACTTTGAGTCTCTCAGGACGACTCACGACCGTCATAGCTCTCGCACGATACAGAGGAAACACATTATTCTCATAGTTCTACTGGCAATAGTTTCCCATCTTGCCAGCGGCTGTGTTGGCTTTTACTATAACAAGGGGCCGAACCTTGACGCTGCGTGCTCCTCCTACACAACGCAATACTGTGAGTTCTGAGCTTGAAGCATTTCGGCTTTGTTGGATGTATGAGTCTAAACCAATCGTGATAGCTCCGTTGCTCGAAGAGGTGGGGATCAAATACGACTTCATCCAGTATAATGGCTCTTTCCTGGAGGAGACCATCTATAGACAGAGGGGGTCTCCAGAAGTCGATGACGCCTGGGAGGCGCTTGGAGTCAACTGTATGCCATGATTTCCCCATGAATTGCTTTGCAATGATGGCTGATGTATCGTGTAGCTCGAGCTGGCGTTATTACTAGAGAGCAAGGCCTCAAAAGTGGATTGACTAATGCTCATGTCCAGCGTGCCGACAAGTATGGCGGTGGCTTCTTCGTCAATGTGGAAGGAATGCACCATTTGCACTGTTTGGTAAGATTCAGAATTTCCTACAGTATTAGAGACCGATTTGTTAAGTCATGAGTTCTGACATTTCCTTAGAACCTTGTTCGCCAAGGCCTGTACTGGAACTATGAATATTACAAGGAGTTGGGAGCTGGCGCCTTTGTGAACGACGACATGATCATAGAGAAACATATCTGTATGTACCTTATCCTACCAGAATTGAGTTCCATACTAAAACTTCTGCAGCACACTGCCTCGATACGATCCGCCAAACACTGATGTGTAACGCCGACACGGGTGTTCTGGGTCAAGTCTGGTTTGATCATGAAAGCCCAACGGCGTTCCCAGATTTCAACACAAGGCACAAGTGCAAGAACTTTGACGATATAAGTCGATGGGCTGTTGAGCACCAGGTAAGGCTGTTCTGTTTCCAGAGGATATAACTCAAGCAGTCACTGAGTTCATGGCTGATATCATCGTACATATTCAGGAGCTGGTCCCAGATGCATTGCCAGACGATTACATGAAGGAACCGAAACCAGAGTATGTAGGGGAGAACACACCATGATTGACTTTACTGGTGTGATCTCCAAAAAAAAGCGTGAGGTCGCTGAGAAGAGGCTCAAATATGATTTTGGGGATTCTCAAGCATGCGGGCTGAGCATACCGAAGTCTGGGGGGCCTCCCGCGCGTACAGTTGCTTGATCCCCTGAAATGTCGCTTTGCGTTATGATTGAGTGGGCTGGCCAGTACACTCCACTGATGATATAGTGTTAAAACGCCAGACCTACCGATATTGTCAAAAGTTTGCAATGTTTTCTTGTATTTGTGACATTTGCCTAGAGCTGGCAGCCATAGTTACTGCCAACTAGGTTGGGATTTATAATTGGCTCTTTGAGAACCTGCCTCAAGCACCCAAGAATCCTTTATCTATTCTAGGACTAGGATTTAAAAAAAAGACCAACCCAGCAAAGTCATTCCAAAAATCAAGAATGCAAATCTCATGGGAGTAAATATTAATTAATTTCCAATTTTCGAATCGCCAGAAACATACTCTTTACACGCGACTCAGAAGTCGGCATTGTCGCGTTGGTATATCCGTTTTGATGCTTTGTTCACACTCACGCTGCATCCGGCCACGTTTTGTACACAAAGGAGCTGGTAATTCAGATACTGGGTAGGCCGAAACGAGTGTCCGCTTCGTAATGTGCAAAAATTTAATTACTAGCTTATTCGGGACTAAGCGTGGCTGTGCACACAGTATGCAACCCAGACCCGCACTTGCGCATAAAAGGTACCACCTGCTGCAGACCGATCTACCTTCACATTTTCAAACGCCTACTTCATATAACTCAAAACTGCTCAGCACTTAGACATATAAGAGCTTGAGTAGTCCTCCCGGATAACAAGCAGTTTCCTGCTCATCGCCAATTTTTTTCTCCTTTCGGACAGTACAATGACACCCAGAGCTCATTTAATAACACTTGCGGTATTGCCCAAGCTAATGCCATGTGATTTCATGTCCCACTGTTCCGCGACAATACCACATATCCAATTGTTCCAACCTTCCGAGATTGGGAGTTCCCGCACCACTGCTTCAACTCCTTGCGTTGATGCGTCTCTCGCAACACCAACTGCGACTCCATTGCCATGACGCCGCCCATCCCGAGTTGAGCGAAGCCCAGACCGACCGCCAGTCTCTGAGTGATTCCGTACCAATGCCGCCACTTCCCACAGTTTCTACTAAAACCTGCCGAAGCTATCGCTGTGCTCTATCCGGCTCATCCTACGGCTTCCAGAGCACGCATCTTATACCAGCCAGCCGCTGAAGAAATATGGTTCAGGCGAAATGTGATGAAAGACTGCGAAGGTGGTAGTTACTCTCTTCAAGAGGACTACAACAGGCTGCCTCTACGGTCCGTCCTACATTTTGTTTGGGACAGCCAAAAGCGCGTCTTAGTCCCAAAAGGCAGTCAGCAGTGCTTTGCCGTACACGTACTTGCCGCGGTAGACATTCAAGTTTGCGAGTTTCCTGCAGCATGGCATAATGTACTTGAGCACACTTCACGATCGCCAGACTCGTTTCGCGGCGATCACGTAGTGTGGTATCGGAAGGAAAAACCATGCAAGATTCCTGCAAACCCCTCACACACTGTAACACTTCATTTCAAGCCCCACAGAAAGCTTGAGACAGAGCTTTTTGCGAGGGACCCTCGACGTGGCACAAGGTAGAGCAGTTCAGGTGGAATTGAACTATCAGGCACCTTATAGACAACTTTGAAGCGGAGGCCTCATCGCAAACAAATCAGCTGCGTCTCGAATATGACAGCAATACGCAACAAAATACAGCGGAAAGGGCTGGGGCGCGCAGTTTTTTCTCCTTTCCTACTTCTTCTTTCATTGATTTTTTGTCCTCCCATGTTCCCCGGAGAGGAAAGGGGTGGGTGTACGCCTGCAATTATATACTACTACACGTAACTACGCGGCATCCAAATCTAGACACAGACCGATCTAGACCACGTGGTGCGTTATGGCGGCGGCAGGACTCCCGCGACCATTTTCCCTCGTCGTCCTGGGCTTCCTCTCTCCATGATCTGCGGTCTTACCCGGAGCCCTTGCACAAGCAGTGTCGACACACACGAGAAGCAAACCATGACGCTTGTCCAGTTCCTCGACGATAATCTCGAGCAGAGCCTGCCTGTGCTGTGTGTTGCTCACTTAGGGGGAAACCAAGATTGGATCCAGCTTGTACGCCATATCATCGTCCTGGAAATGTGAGTCGGTGGAGTCGGTGCGAACAAGTTGTCATGCTCAACCTCACGTGGCTGATATGCCTACGCATAAATGATCTCACAAAATAAGTCTTTCAACAGGCTGTTATGTCCGAAGTTCTAAGTTCCCTCGTCAAATGTGAAATGTTGGCCGCTGTTAAACCTGGCTCTTGTTTGACATTGAAGGCTTTGCTCCGAATTCAGTGATTCAATCCATCGTTTCGCGTCAATCCTGTTGTAGGCTAGCAAACAACACCCTAGAAATTTTTCAATCTGCTCATGCCGATATCGCTATATTCTTTCGTTCTATTACTATTGATTCGGACGTGACAAGATGTGAGCTATATAGCACACACGTTAATCTGTTCATGCTCGGCTTCTGGTAATGTTACCGTATTTTCAAATATCATTGACTCCATCTCCATCCGCTCGGCTGCCCCATAATGTCTGGGAGATTGAGGATTAGATCTATGTGTCAATAGAATAAGACAAAAGTGAGGAGTGTGTAGCTATTTTGTATCGTGTTCAGAGTGGCAAGGGCGTGAAGCTTTATCAGGCGGCGGAAGTAGTGCTATGGTCAGGTACAGTATGCATATGTGTGAAGAGCGATAATGTTTATTTGCTAGACTTAGGGTGATGGGAAGGAAGTTATCTAGGTTCACCTGCCAGCTGGCCGCCCAAAGGTCATGAGAGGTGCCCATGACTGGCCGTAGCAAGTAGCCAAACTAATATTCTTTTATAACTATACATCTAAGAATAAATTAGAAAGAAGTTTTAGAATATTTGAAATACCCTCTTTCTTTTAGTACTACTTTTCAATATACTATACTTAAACTAATGAACTTAAATAATTATATTATAAACTTTTATATATATTAATATGGTTAAATTGTTAGTATGGTTTTGGTAGTATGAAATGCAAATGAGTGTACATCTGATAAATCTAATCGTGCGGGGTCCATGCAGGAGGCCTTATCGATAAGCCCACACCACCGCCCTACTCTTAACAAACACCAGGCCTCCTACTTTCCTCATCTCTTCTCTTTCGGCGAAGCTACATACACTTATAATATTAACAATATTTGATGTGGATCTCGAGACCTTGTGCTGCAAATTCCAAGTGACGTCGCACCGTCGATCAAGGCGGCTGAAGCATATTGTCGGACTTTCAGCATCTACGGCAAGATGACAGTCGATCACGTTGATGAGCGAACTCCCCTTCTTCCCCCTGTCTTTGGAGTTGACAAAGAAGAGTTGGCCTATCGACATCGTTATAGCTTTTTGCAGAGGCTCAAAATTGCTTCGTTAGCGTCCGCTCTTGTCGTTGTGCTCTTCAATTTGTTTTCCACGCCGCCTTCGCCTCATGCCTCGCCTCCTATCGACACGCTAGTCTGCTACTCCACTCTGAACACATCAAGGGGCTACGCAAGCGCCGAAGCTCTGAGCAACAATGTCTTGAACTTCTGCGACAATGCTGCCAGAACCTTTCCTCATATCCATTTTGACTGGAAGCAGTCCCAAACGTACTATTTACACACGCCTGACCAGTACACGATGACCGTGACAGTGTCAGATCAGAAAAAAGGCTTCAACCAATCTCAGTGCGTCGAAGCTATGAGCGCCATTATCAACGACTGCGATGTCGCCCTAAGAGACATCAACCCGATGAACTGGAAGCAAGGCGGCAAGCGCATGCTACAGCAAGATACGTACCAGATTGATATTTTTCGCCAAAACAGGCCTTGGCCGCCCCCTACTGAGCCGAGACAGAGTTGTACGGGCTGGTATAAATTCATTCTGCAGCATTATGATATATACGGCGCTGGGTGGGCGAACCATGACTGGGGGCAAAAGTCGCTTCTGCCGGCTATTAATCCGTGTTGTGGATCGGGTACGTCGGACAGTGAATGAGGAACCCAAAAGATGTATTTTCGTCTGCAAGATGGTGGCAACTGATCCAGAGTCATGAACAGGAAGCCTTACTGCGTGGAATTTCAGATACTTCGACCAGCCCGACGAGCACGGGTACGAGGTATGTAGAAAAAAGATCATGCCCACGTTCCTCTTACTGTTAGAAATCTGCTTACTTTTGCTTCCGCCAACTAGTGGCACTCATGGTTCAACACTGCTCTTGGAACAAGGACACGCTGCTTTGATAATAGCATAGTACAGTGCGCAGCTGGCGGTCCATGCGATTCATATTGCGGTGGCAATGGCTAACGCAAGCAACTCCGCCTTCTTGAATGAGGGCAAGTCCTAACAACGCCTGGATAAAGAGGGTTTTGCGCAGCAGGATCTCATACATTGTCACTTGATCGGATAGACTTTGGGCTTGTCAGTACTGCACACGAATAGGTCGAGTGCATCACCGGAGATGTGCGCCGGTTTTCAGTTCGGCCTTTGAGGGTTACGATCGACTATGTCGATCAGCGATGGCGTTGGTTTGGTGGAAAGGGTCGTATATTGCGTGCGGACATTGCACGGGCATCGAATTATACATATATCTTAACTTAACTGCTTCCTTGATCATTGGTCCACCCCACACAGTTGCACAGTGTCTAGTGAAGCCCGTGGCTTGAGATTTTGGGCATCAGGTAGTCTCTCCTAAAGAGGTAGCGTAATATACAGAGAGCAACTTTCACCACAAAAGTACTTATATGCGATTTTAGGGCTCATAGTTACACTATAAATTCCAACGCTATAATAGCAATTTCAAAAGTACTTTAAGCCTTCTCGTAAAGCTAGAAAACATTATCCTGCCTCAGCTGTTGTCTTGAAGAATAAAAATTAAGTACTAAAGAAAATTAGTAAACGTAATCAACATGTGGCACGCACACACAATACCCAGGTATATAAGCTCTTCTACCATCCACATACTCCATCTACAATGAAGGTATTTAAGGGCCATCCCCACAACTATCAAACACCTCTCCAGATGTCATGTTACTCTTTATAATACTCACTAGTTCATTCCGCAGCCAGCCTCATCTTCTCAAAGTCACGCAGTAGGTCTAAACAAGTCATACTAAGCCAGCATTACAACCAACCATTATAACTACAGCAGCAGCACAAGGGATATTCTAATTAATGCAAAGTATAGGAGACACATTCCTCTCAGTAGCTTTAGTCTGCCAAGAACTTGCAAAACTATCAGCTTGTGGTCAATAAAGAGGACAAGGGTCTAAACACATCCCTCGCTAAGCCCAGTTTGATATGCCCCCTCCAACCTCAGCCTCGCTCGCCTAGTTCTACCAGTCTCTAGTACTTAACGCAGCCAGCTCCCTCATAAATCACTTGCCTCGCCTCGTCCCAACTTCTCTTCTCCAACACTAGCCCGTAGCAGAGAAAGCACCCCTAGGTACTTATTCAGAATTTCCTGTTATGATAATAGATATCACCCTGAAAGACTATACCTTTCAAAGCAACAAATACGCCCTACGCCTTTCAGCACGAAAGCACACTTAATCATATTTGCCTGAGAATAATATCATATTCAAAGGTATTATACATCTTATTATATAAGCCGCGCTAATAGCTAGGCCATCCTGGCAGTAGTATTAATAATACATAACCCTAAATCTGCATTAAGGAAATACAGAGCACTAGTCCAGGAGTCGAGTAACACGCAAAAATATAACAATATTCAGAAGAGAAGCATAAATACTATATTATTTACAATAAAGTGCTCAATTAACAGAGCTGCCTTTACATACCCTCGTTAAATCAGGATGGATTTCTTATAAGATTATAAATAAACGTTTAAAGTACGTTAGAAGTAAGTAGTGCTAGGGTAGCTGAAAGCAGATGTTTATTCCTGCACTGCCAATTAGTCTAATTGTGGTTAAGCTACAACCAGCTTACAGTAGATATACTATACAAGCCACATATGGCGCATGAGGTTAGTGCTTACTCTTCTTTTCACAAACAAACAAAGGCGGACACTCGTTTCGGTCTGCCCTGTATTCCAGGTGTAATTTAATACACTAATCTATGTGTCTTGGCCGGCTGAGTCCCTTTGTCAAGTATATTTTTCAATTTATAATCAGCCTTCTCAGTCCATCTTATTGTGATGCAACAATCCGCAGTGTCCAGCGACCTTCACAAACCTCACAGCATACATCTGATTGCAAACAATACGGAGCGAATCATTAGGTCAGAGACTGGTTGTTTAGGGAGATCCTGGTTCGGGGTTCCCAGAAGCGCCACTGAGGCAACATAGCAAATCATTTCGCCAACGTATTCCACAACGGCTTCGCGACTATTAGGCCGTCGGCAGTTCAACACATCTGACCATGTCCGAAGAGGACGCTCGTAATTGGTCCCTATTCCTCCGTCAGCGACGACTCAAGGACCAACTTCGGAGGCTTCAGAATGAATATAAGGATTGCTACTGTCCCGTCGGTTGCCGAGGCACTCAGTATACCCATCTTCCCGCGGACCTTGGACCCACGGCACCCGAGCACCAAGACTTACATGGCCCGCACGTGCGCGTGAGTGATCCGTTGCCTATGACCAAATATAGGAATGAGTTTCGCACTGAAGAGGGTCTTGTCGTGCTGGCTGAGGCACGAGGCATGTCGGATATACTACTCCACCGTGAGAGGACCAGGGCTACCCTGCGCATGTCGCTGCAGGTATACTCGCACCCGCAGTATGCCAGGACGGGTCTGAGAGGGTACTATGCGGAGATGTTCCTGACGCGTCCGGGCCAGCAGGAAATATTCATGGGAATCATCCACTCCTGGTATATAGACAGATCGACCCCACGTGAGACTTGGGAAAGCATCATCCTTTACCTGCATATGGACGATGATAATTCTCGGCCAGACATGCCGGATATTAGTGATTATTTTAGGTCTTTATATGGGGATGCCAACCATGATCGAGACAACAATGGGGCACTATTACCACTCGCTGCAGTGCGGCGCCACCATGGAGCACGTTGGGCGAGGTTGAATGATGATACGGATTTTGTCTACATTTCCGTGATATGGATTGACCAACAGGTGCTTGCTAGCCTAACCTGTGCTTCTTACTCACCGCAGAGACAAGTAATTGTAGTGTGCTAACCACAGCGTGGCCATAGGCTTCGGGGAATCGTATAATCGACCAAGCCTTTGAATTGTTTTACAGGCTGATGGTAGGCGGGACGCTACCGGCGCGTAAGTTTGCCTTTGACTTAGAGACACTCGACGTATGCGGACTTTTGGGTAAAGCTAATTGCTCCACGTGGAAGCATACAACCTCAACCGTCCATTAACCCTCCTTTTGAGACCCGGTTTACTACAAGGAGATTTCATCGGAGTGTGGAGGGATCGGGAAGGAGGGGCTTCTCCCAACGAGGAGCGGACGACAAATGTCATATCGCGTGTATACGAAAGAAACGGATACATGCACCTCTTCGATCCCGGGCGCTATGACATACTATTAATGGGTCGTAGGGTCGACGCCTGCGATCACCCTGCTGCCCCCGACGACATGGCCACCTATCCTCCCGCCCCGCCGGATTCAGATCTTAACACACCATCGCCTAGACGGCAGGTCAGGGGAAAGCCACTAGATCGGCTGGGAATAAAGCCAATGGGCAACATTGGAAAACCTCCGGGACCTCTGCGAAAGCAAATGGAACAATTTCAAAGCCTACAAGAGGGACAGCAAGAGGACCAACAAAAGGACCAGCCAGAGGACCAGCGAGAAAGCCATTGAGACAGCCAACAACATCCGGCGCGGCGCAGAAGGGAGGCTCAAGCTTGCTTCGCACCAAAGAAACAATTTTCAGGTCGTCGATTGCTTCGGCGACTTTGGGCACGTGTAAAATGTAGCGAGATTGAGGCTCTATGCAGCACTTTGCGAGTTGTGGCTTCGTTTTGAGAGTTTCAGGGACGGAGGATCTTTGCGCTGTCATCGTACCGTCGTTTTGTTACCTCAGCGTGACGTGAGTAGTGGGCGCGGGACATTCTTATGCTCCAAGTATTATACCGTTTATCATGTGCAAATTTCGAGTGGGGTTGGGCCAAAACCAGCGGCATTGAGTGACTTGCCGTGCGGTTGGCTGCGAACACCCGTGCTATTCTGGTGAAGACCTATGCGATCGCAGGAAAGGGGTCATGAGTAGTAGAGATTGTGCTTTGACGTGTATCAGCAATCGATGCGTAGGACACAATATGGGCATTCTGCGAGTTTACTCGTTTCAGACAATGGGCTTGCTTCAACAGAGATTGACCGAAGAAGTCACACTAGTTGATTGTGGAGTCATGTCCACAGCTGTTGCCTCAAGTAGTGGGGCAGTAGTCGTTCTCGTCGAACGATATTCTTGCTCGTATCTGCTTCTTGAGCTTGCAAATCCTACAAGTCCAGCCTTGTAAGCATCGTGCCCCTTTAAAGCAACCACATGATATTTTGAAATTGCAGATCGGAGTCGCTTTCTTCATCGCAGATGAGCTCCACTCCGCTGTCGCTTAAAATTATGTTTGCTCCATCCAACGTGGCGATACGGCGTACACATGCGTCGTCGAGCTGTGGGTTCTCATTCTGACCGTACCCGAATGGCCAAAATCCTTGAGGACGAAGCAGTCGCAGTTGCTGGAACCTCCCTCTCTCCCATATGTCCGAGGCCAGTCTCTTCACGTGAGCTTCAAGCTCAAACCCAAAAACCTCAGCATCAGGATTTGTTCCGAACAGAGCGACCGTTTGGATCGACTCGGGCAGCAGGCTCGTGAAGAGCTCGTCTGGGCGGGGCGAGGATCTCGTGACGGCACCCGCTTCCCAGTCCCAGACACAGGCCAGGTCGACGTATAACGTTTTTAGGGCGGGAAATGATTGGAGGGACGAGATCCTCCTCCCTCGGGGGCCAATCAACAGGCGAAAGTCTATGCCGAGGACTTCAAGGGTGCTGCGTGCAGGCTCGAGAGCCTCGATGACATCTCGCGCTTTGGCCCCTGGGGCGGACTTCCAGCCTACCGGAGCAGGCATGTATACGAATTTGCGAAGGCGTGTACAGCGTTTAAGGAGTTTTCGAAGGTCTCGAGCCGCAAATTCGCAGCGGCAGAGGGTGGCTTCATGCAAGTTCTCGAACGGAGATGCCATGGGTGTGCCTGTGCTGCCGAAGATGGATAGCCTCGTGAGTCCTTCCGCGCTTTCAAGGAGAGGCAGGACCCGACTTAAAGTGTACCGAGCTGAAGGAGACGGCACCAGGTGACGATAAGGCGGTTCCACATGGCTGCAGGGCTTCAGCCACATATTTCGAACTACAAGGACCCGAATTAATCATCTCTGCTTCCGAACACGACAGGAGCAGGAATAGGTAGCATGATTTGTAAGGGTTTCTGACACACTTTCAAACAGTGCGGCAAATCGGGCAGCACGCAAGCAGAGTTTGAGATTTTCCTTACGGGTATGTCTCCAAGGCCATCCGGATTGCGGCCGCGGCATGACGTCTATTATGCTGGTATCAAACCAGTCGAGGTTGAGGGTGTCGATCAAGGGCAGGTAAGCCAGGACAAGTGCCACCAGGTCAAAGCCTATTTTCCAGCCATTTCTGTCCGTATACTCCTTGAAATATTTGAGCTCCATGTTCAGTTCGGCCGCCTTGCTGATCAGGATTGACGCCATGGGATGCTTTGGGTCGTTCAGACACTTCACCTGTGTCTGTCCAAACATATCGCATGCTCCCTGGATATTTACCTTGCGGACAAAGGAGGCCAGACGTGGGATTGTACAGATTGTTCGGGTAAACTTGGCGACACTGAAATAATGCCACTGGTCGGTGAAGACACGAGAGTCGAAGTTCCGGTATAGCATGGGAGTGGCCAGGTCACGGAACAGAGTGCAAGAGCGGCAAAGACTGGCCAAGGTGGAAGGATCGTAGATGCTCCAGAAGGTGCCATGTTGGTCGAAGGCGCCAAAAGAGAAGATAATCATCCATATTTCCGGTGGCAGGCGGCGGCATCTCGTCGAGTTATACCCAGTGTTGCGCAGGCCGGTGTGTGATTCCATCATATCGGTTGGGGGGCTTTTTTTTTCTGAGGGGGGGGGGGATAATGACACATGCAAAGCGTAACAAAATAGTTTACTTCTTTGAAAGGCCCCGAGGACCCCTATATAGCTGACAGGAAGGGATTTCTGAGGCGAACTCTGAAGCCGTGAAAGTGAGTGTTAATAGTAGCCCTGTGTCCCCACCAATCACGTCGCTGCTTTGGTTCCGGACTGTGAAACCAATCAAGAGTGGGCATGGCAGTCCACCCTGATCCCTGTCAGGTACGTACCCTAGGGTAGCTGGACGTAATTGTATGTACGGTCGATCTTCCAGAATTTTTGGACCGTTGAGCGTCTTGGTCGGATTACCAATTCATGACGGCCACTCTTCAACTTCGCATTCTCAAGCTCTAAGATTTTACCGTCTCCGCGGCCACTCTCTTCCCTTACATTCTTGGCGCACCATTACCATTCTTCCCTCTTTTCGCCACGGTCGCCACCACACCATGTTCCGCGCAGCAGTACGGTCCACGCCTCGAGCGTTGCGACAGCCATCCACCATCACATCCGCCGGCCGAAGATTCACAAGCACAGCTCCTGCAGACAAGAGGTATACATGGAAGGGCACCGCGGCAAGATGGGGCCTGGCACTAGGCGCCCTGTACTGGTACAACACAAGCCCTATGTTCGCAGACGAGCTCCCCTGTGCGTCCTCCTCCCCTCCGCCGCGCCATGTTTCTCACGACCACTGACACTCATCGCAGCTCGCCTCGAGAATGAGCCTCCTCAATTCGCCGAGTCAGACCTCCAGACCGTGGACGCGATCGTCGACGAGAAGCGAAAACAACTAGATGCGAAACACAAGGCCAGGGATGCGCAAGCGGCCAAGCAGGCCGTGGCAGCAAACAGCGCGACACCACAACAGACCCCACCCGCCGAGCAACCCGTCGTCGCCTCGCCCGAGGATGCCGAGAAGTCACCAGAGCAGCTTGAGGAGGAGGCTGGCCAGCAGGGCGCATTCAACCCGGAGACGGGCGAGATCAACTTCGACTGCCCTTGCCTGGGCGGCATGGCGCATGGCCCCTGCGGAGAGGAGTTCAAGGCCGCCTTCAGCTGCTTCGTGTACTCGGAGGAGGAGCCAAAGGGCATCGAGTGCATTGATAAGTTCCAGTACGTGACAGGCGCATGATCTCAGTACAAGTTGGACCGGCAAGAGCTGACAGATGACCACAGGCACATGCAAGACTGCTTCCGTAAGTACCCCGACGTCTACGGCGCCGAGATAGCAGACGAGGAGGCCGCCGAGCGCGAGGCCGAGGAACTCTCCCTTGACACGCCCGATCCCGTCCCAGCTGCGCCCAAGACGGAGCGCAACATGGCGGCAACCCCGCGTCACACCGAGGAGAAGCCCGCCGCACCAGCGCCCAAGGCCGAGGCATCTCCCCATGACATCCCCGAAGTCAATCCTGCCGACGCGACCAAGAGCAGCCCATCGCCTGTTGCCAAGGTCCTCGGCCAGGACAAGAAGGAGGACACAGAGGCCGCAGTGGGGCCTATCAGCGAGGAGCGTGGTGTGCCGGAGAAGGCCTTCGACGCGACGGGGGCCAACAACACACAATCAAAGTAAAGAGTCCATACATCCATGGCTGCTGGGATGGAGTAAAGGACTGTAGAGTTTGGTAATATGATGCATTTTCTGGACGCAGTGGGGATCTAGATCTACTAGACTTGCTTTTGCATCCGTGTATATTCTGGCCGGTTGTCACTCTATCTGGGCTGTGTATACTATGAAATGAGACGGTGGTCGAATGTCAAATCTTCTCATCTCAGTCGGATACATGCAATTCTGGCACTGCCACTCCTGTCGAGGTCGGTGTGTTTGGCTACAGCTCCACGAATGCTTACTTTGAGAACAGAATGCGTCTCGAAATATCAAAAAAAAAAAAAAAAAAAAAAAAAAAAAAAAAAAAGGAAAAAAAAAAAAAAAAAAAAAAGTGGGGGGGGGGGGGGGGGTCCTGGGCCCCAGGTTGGCCGCACCAACTTAGAAAGTATGAGCTAACCCATCTGGGCGTTTAGTAGGAGTTAGA